GCCTTTTTGTCGATGGCTTCAACTCGCTTGCTAGTAAAAGTTGCTATAGGAACATGCAAACAGAATACTACTAGTAGTAACACGGAGTACTTATTATATCGATAGATGCTGCAAGCAAAACGAAAAAGAGAGGAAATAAAAAGGAGTCTGGTGCTTATAAGTAGCATATTGTTGAGATGGTAGCACGAGAAGTTGGTCCTACAGTTTATGAATTCTCAAAAAAAAAAAGACACATGAATCAAACAGTTTACTTACTTAAATAAAAGGGCAACATATCCTATGCACACAGGCCCTCACGTGTACATACGTGCACACCAACTAAAAAATGTCACCAAAAAATCTAGAAAAAATCATACACATACTTTCAGTTGTATTACACCTAGGGTTAAAATCTTAACATCAATTTCATTATATTTTAGCCGTAACAAAAAAACAAAAAATCTGACAGTTTTAAGGTTACAATTTTGTCAGAATTTTATCTTTTTTGTTATTCTCTATGTAGAATGAATTTGAAGATACGACTTTGCACGTAGATGTAATACTATTGAAAGTACATGTATGAATTTTCCTAGAATTTTTTGTGATAATTTTTAGTTGGTGTACACGGTGTGTACACGCGAGCGCCTGTGTGCATAGGATACGCTCCCAAATAAAAGACACATGAGTTAAAAAAAACAGTTTATGAATTGATCTAGCTATACTCGATGTACGCGTACATGCTTGGCTTTGTCGGCTGAATTTGCCGGTACAAGCTGCTGACTCTTTTGTTAATTAAGTAAAGAAATTAAGAAAATGTGCTCCTCGTCGTCGGTACCGCCGCTGACATCATCAGCTGGAACAAATGATCAATCACGAAGGCCGGCTGACATGTAGAAAACAAACAAACTAGAGATCGACCTTTGGCCCTGTTTGGATAAGTAGCCAAGAGTTATTTTAAGACCTATTTTTTACTCAAGGAATAGCTCTTCAATGAAATAGGCCTTAAGCTGTTTTGATGAAAGAGCTATTTGACATTTAGTACACTTTCTCAATCATAACTACCCCTTTTCTCTCTTTCTCCACTGTATCTTTTGTGCATGTGTCTTGGTGTGGCCGGCTGCATATGCCATGCCGTTGTGCTCTATCACTAGGACAGGGCTCTATCTCATAAGCTTGTAGCATAAAGGGAGAAAACAACAAAGTTTTTTCTTTAAAAAAGAGAGATCAAATTGCTCTGTGGAGCGCGTGGACTGTTCATTCCATTGCATAAGCACTGATCCATCAAACGCATCCACGCTGACACGGGGAGGAGGAGCATGGCCGGGGCCGGTCGCTGACGGCTGCGACGGCCAGACGCTTGGATTTGGATCTTCGGAGAAGAAATCGAAGCCACCACCCTCCATGGACAAGAAAACAAATCGAGCAGTGGGGGGCCGGTGGCGGCTTGAGTGGGGGACGGCGGCGACGCGGTTGACGGTCGGCGAGGAGCGGGGTCGACGGCGTTGGTGGGGAGGAGGTGGGGCGGCGGCGCTGTTGGGGGGAGGCGGCGGCGCTGCTGGGGTGAGGCGGCGGCGTTGGTGGGGAGGAGGTGGGGGCGGCGGTGCTGGTGGGGGCCGGCGAGGAGTGGAGGCGGCGGCGGCGAAAATGCCCCGCGCCTGCGCGCGCGGTCGTACGGAGAGAGAGAGGAGGTCGCGTTTTCTGATCCCGTGCGCTGGGAGAGAGAAAAGACACCTTTTAGTGGGCCCTACTCAAAATAGCTCCAATTAGCACCTCTTGGGTAGGATAGTTTTTTTTGGGTGGGCTATTTTTCAAATAGCTCCAATTAGCACCTCTTGGGTAGGATAGTTTTTTTTGGGTGGGCTATTTTTCAAATAGCTCCAATTAGCACCTCTTGGGTAGGATAGTTTTTTTTGGGTGGGCTATTTTTCAAATAGCCCTCAAATAACTCACCCTTTTGGATCTTTTGAGCTATTTGGGCAATTTGAGGGAGGGCTAAAAAATAGCCCTTAGATCCAAATAGGGCCCTTGTCTTCTCTCCAGCCTTCTCTCCAGATCGACCTTGTCTTCTCTCCAGCTTATTTGCTTGTATGTTTGACCTCATATGCTTTGACTCATGCAATAGTTTTTCTGCTAAATTTACCAACTTTTTTCCCTCGCTGGTTGTAGTATTTCTTTTTATAATATAATTCATTCCGGTCTTTAATTTAAAGAAGATATAGCCAATTATTAGAGATAGTAGGTCAAGTCACTGTGAATTATACGAAATTGCATATTGATTAAAAACAAGAAAGCTATACATAATACTAGCCTAAAGACATACTTCCTCCGTTTCACAATGTAAGTCATTCTAACATTTTTCACATTCATATTGATGTTAATGAATCTATATGAATGTGAGAAATGCTAGAATAACTTATATTATTAAACGGAGGGAGTACTTACTTTGTTCTTAAATATAAGAAATTATCTGTCCAAATTTATAGTATTAGAATATGTTCTATCCGATGATAATTCTTATATTTTGAGACGAAGAAAGTAGTATTTGCTAATCTTTTAGTACATGGTTAATTAGCGAGAATCTATATAACTGTTGTTTCTGCTTAGCAACATGCAAGTTGTGTGTGGTTCTTAAGAACCCATGGAACAAAATGTCCTAAATCAATGACCGATTATTGTACAGATCAAATTCTGCTCACACCATTTTTGGTGATTGAAGTTGAATCGAAGCGAAAGATTTATAATATCGGATAGTAGCTTGCTAGACAAACGAGGCTTCAAATGGGAACAGGAGAAGCTACACGGAGCATGAAAAAAAAAATGATAAATTCATCATGCGAGACAAGTCGCCGACCTCCGATCAGCGATCAGGATCAATTTGGTCCACGTGCGCAAAGGCACGAACCGTTCTCCGACACGTCTGCGGCACACGCAACCAGACATCGCCGAACTCCGACGACTGTTTGACTTGCGTATTATGTGCTCATGTTTACGTCACTGAGGAAAGGGACCCACCGCCAAGCGTACTAGTAGTACTACTCCCCGTTACCATAAAAAACCAAATTAATATTGGACAAGATATTTCCTAGCACTATAAATCTAGACACTAGAAAACGTCCCATCCAATTATAGATTGGTTTTTTATGGAACATATTTTCTATGGAACATATCTAGATTCTCTGTAAAACTTTGCATCTAATTCTACATTGGTATTTTATGGGACGGTGGGAGTACGTCCCTGGCTGGGCTCCTCCCGTACAGAGGATACCTCCTACGTGGCCGCCGCCGCCTCAGCCCCCTTACGCATCAGGCCCACGTGTCAGTGACCGCGGGCGCCTCGAGAGGATACGTACGAGCCGTACGATGCGCCAGGTGGACGGCTCGATGGGCGACACGTCGCGAGCCCGGCGGCGGGTGGCGCGTCGCTCGTGGGTTCGTGGCTCTCCGCCGCGAGGCCGCCTCCGGTTCAAAGCCTAGCCCTCTCTGATCTCCCTGTTTTTACGTCTCTTTTGCAGCTAGCACCCTGTGTTTCGAGGTAATTTGCTAAGGATTAAATAAAGACTTTAGAGGGAAGCTTTTCGGTTATTTCTTAGAAAGCACTTAAAGCAAACGTTTTCAGGTATGGAGAGAGGGACGCCGATTTGGATATCTTTAAGATTGCCGCACCAGATGCGTGTAGCACATGGCATGAATCAATGGTGGTTGTTGTGTATATATGTTTATTAGTAGTAGTGATCTTTATATATGCATCCTAACATAGAGGAGTTGTATATTACTATATTGGTATGTTCACATGGATGTATTGTAGAGTTCCTCCCGTTTTATCATGCACTACCTTGTTGGATATAATTGTAAATGAGTAGAACTGGGGATGGTCATATACAATTGGTACTTATGATTTGAGAGAGTAACAATACTTTTATATCAACAGGACAAACACTTGCAAATACATACATATATACTCCCTCCATTCTAAAAAAAGTGAGTACATCCCAAAACAATATGTAATAGGGGTGCTAAAATCAAATTTTGCTCGGTTATCCAGCATGTAATCGTTTAATTCATATGATACGAAAGACAACTTGCTCTAATAGCATGTATCCACACAATCATGTTAATTTGAAGAGTAGATCTATTGGTTTTTTTGTTGTTATGTAGTCCTCGTTCTCGATTCACTTTTTTTTTCCGAGGTTCACGATTCGCATTTCAGTTACACTTACCAGCTGCAAACTAAGTTGGGAGGTAATAAAAACATTATCAGATTTTAATATTAAATTAATAGGTTTCAAATATTGACAATGTTACTAGCTTGTGGTCCGTATGCTTCAAAATAATTCAAAAATAATACAGCTTGCTGAAGACAGCATTAATATGCCACCACAAGAATAATATACTCAATTTTAGTATATGACCAAACTAGTCAATAATTTTTATTTTCTACACTATAAAAATATAAAATTAGGAGGTTTGTAGCTAAGGATACATTTTTTGGTGGGAACCATAAGGCTATCAACTAGAGATAAAACCATAGAATTATTATATATTTTTTCAAACACTGAATCATTGATTTATATGAGAAGCCGCAAATAACTAGACACGAGAGAATACATTAAGCTTATACATCCCACTATTTGTCGATGTGATATTAAACAAAAGATCAATACAACTATATATGCTCTTCCCACATGCAAAAATTTTGGAGAATACAAACTTCAACAACCAAATTAAGTGTTGTTTTGCCAAAATCTTGACAATTATAAACGGAATCTTTGTCCATGTCATTTTAATGCTTTATGCACAAGTTAACTGTAGCAATATGTATCTACTCCCATCAAATCATTAGTATTTATTAATCCCCTAAAGAAAACCAATCAATCGGAACGACTACTATACTCTCCAAGTCTTTCCTTCCCTTTGTCATGCCGCATTGGGGCGAGACAGGCATTCACTTGGATTGGGGGGATAATCTCTGAAGAAAGGCCGGGCAATGATTACCACCCTAAAATGCCGAGAGATGAGGGATTTAAATGCAACCAGGGGCTCTCTCTCTCTCTCTCCCCCAACCCACCTTCCGACGGCGACCGGGCCGCCATATCCCTCCTACCGTTTGTTCCTCCTCCTCCTCTTCTTCTCCCCCCCTATCTCTCTCTCTCTCTCTCCCCTCCCTCCCCTCCTCGCTCACCAACTCCTCCTGTCCCGACTCGCGAGCGAATCCGCCGAGCAGCCCAAGAACAAGGGGGAAGGAGGAGGAGGAGGAGGAGGAGGGATGGGGGGGATTGCCTCGTGAAGTGATCCGACATACATATCCCTCCCAGCTTGGGGTTCGAATCCCAATCCCGAGGTATCCCTGCCTGCGTCCTCCTGTTTTAATTTTGTTTATTTTGGAGGAAAGATATTTTTTTTGTTTCTTTATTATCGGATTTTTGGCGGCGTTTCGTGGTGGGATGTTTTGCTCTGTCCTGTTTGGATCAAGAAGTGATCTCTCTAGTATTTTTTTTCTCTTTCCTCTAGACTTTTGTTTTGGGTACTGCTTGTGCTGCTGTTTCGAGATTGGTTCTGGGAATTCTGGAAGTATTTGGTCCTTTTGATCTGAGATTGTCCTTTTCTAGATTGGTTTGAGCTTAAAGCTATCTCCTTTGTTCCTGTCCTTCCTGTTTTAACTATAGATCTATGATCTCCATGTGTTAATATGTTAGAATTTGGGTTGCAGCGGGAAAAAAAGTCTGAAAGTTAACGCGTCCTTCGGCCGCGGATTCAGAATTCTGCGAATATAAGTACATTACGGTGGGCCGTGATACCAATTTGTACCGAGCAATTAATTGAAGGTTAGAGTTTGAGCTTATAGGAGATGAAGTGATTGGAGCTGAATCCTGTTGCTGAAAGCAGCGATTTCGTGTCAAAATTTGATGCCTTTGCTTGGTTCGAGAGCTGTACATGCTTGATACTGTTGCGATCCTGCAATGTCCCGAAGGAATGCCGGGGCAATGCAGCGGGAGGGGTCAGTCAAGGACTGGGAGGAATTTGACCCCTCGCCGTCTCCCAAGCTGGCGTACTCGCAGTCCTATGTTGCAATGAGGGGGCTTCTGACATCGGTGGCCTCGCTGGACCTTGTCCTGATGTCGAGCAGCCTCAAGTCTGCTTGGGCAGCTATATCATCCCACAAGCATGCCCGGTCCTTGGAGAGGTCAAGGTCCAAGGGAATGAGCTTGAAGAGGGCCATGCTGCAGTTATTAGTGTGCTTCATGGTTGGTATCTTCATTGGGTTCACGCCACCCTTTTCCGTGGATCTACCAGGAAAGATAGCTTCTGAAAATGGGAGGCTTCCATTTGATGGGGATGCCATTGACAGAAGACAAATGGTAGAGCGTCAAGGCACCAAGTTGGAGCCATTCGTAGCCGAGGCTGAATCTGAAGCAAGCAGCGAGCCACAGGTTGAAGAGGGCCCACCAGTTCCTGCAATGTTGGATGACGAGGCGGACTTTGTTGAAGCCTCGCCTATCGTACATTCTGTTAATGATTCTGGCATTGTTGTGAGGAAGCACCTGATAATTATTACAACAACCTCTGTTCGACCACACCAGGCATATTACTTAAATCGTTTGGCTCATGTATTAAAAGATGTCCCGCCTCCTCTTCTGTGGATAGTGGCAGAGTGGCCATATCAGTCCCGCGAAACTGCAGAAATACTGAGGTCTTCTGGGATCATGTACAGACATCTTATCTGCAATCGGAATACTACAAATATAAGGAAGATTGTTGTCTGCCAAAAGAATAATGCAATTTTTCACATTAAGAAGCACCGTCTAGATGGTATAGTGCATTTCGCTGATGAAGAGAGAGCATACTCAGCTGACCTGTTTGAAGAAATGCGGAAAATAAGGTGACAACCCTTTGCTAACACTTTCTTTTCTGCACCGGCATGTACTATGACCTTGTTTTTCATAAATTCCTGACAGAACCTAATAGTATAAATACTTTACCATTCCACCTTTAGGCATTAAGATTGTAGAAATTATTGTTTGTCTGGTTTTGCTGGGTCTCCTATTATTCATTTCATGTCAATGCTGTAAAATCTTTAACTACTTGCTGCATACGAAAACCAGGTGTCTATGATTGCTAGTTTCTACTGATTATTTTTAGTTGTCAAATCTATTGGTAAAGAGTAATTGTTTAAGTGCTAGTTAACTTTCCTCAGATATTCTCTAATCTCTAGTAGCTAAATATGCAAATTATTGGTTGGATGGTGATATGCATTTTTTTTTGTGGTGGAGTTTGGCGCGGACGCACTTTCTTGTTTTTTCCCTATCATTCTGCTTTTGTCATTCTTCCTTTCCTGTACTTTTAAGTTTATTCTCGATATGCTCTGATGTTCCCTATATCTAAATGATGGTGCCCCAAAACATGGATTATTCTCAGCAATATAATATAGTGTGACACAGAGCTTTCTTATTTGCTTTCTCCACTATATAAAAGTTTGGTTGATGATCTCACTTCATTTTCTCTAAAGATATCTTAGTACCTTGTGTTTCAGTCATTTAAATTAAGTGCTTTCTGATGCAGAGATAAAAATTTGTTAGAGCCTTCTAGCCCAATAAATGAAATTTATGATGACTGCTACAACCACTGCAGTTGGATAAATCAATTCAGCTCAATAATTATGGCTTGATAGTCCCCACACAAAGATGGAATTGGCAGTTAACAGTTCCTAATGCTTTTGTCCTATGTTCTGCAGGCGTTTTGGTACATGGCCAGTAGCAATACATGTTGGGACAAAGTACAGAGTGGTTCTAGAAGGCCCCGTTTGTAAGGGTAATCAAGTCACTGGATGGCATACAAATCAGAGAAGGGGTGTATCACGTCGATTTCCAATTGGTTTCTCTGGATTTGCTTTTAACAGCACTATACTTTGGGATCCTCAGAGATGGAACAGCCCCACTTTAGAGTCTATTATAGTCCATTCAGGTGGCAGAGGTGGCTTGCAGGTGAGTTTTTTTAGTATTTATGTGTTCAAGCAGTTGAAAATACGTTTTCAATAAGCTGTGGAGCTTCTGTTGTCTGATATAAACTGAAACCGACTTCCTAATTTCTGCTTTACAAAGTTTTTTATCAGAATGTCTATCAAACTGTATTATTATGATTGTTATCCTAGTTAAACACGCCCTTTCAAGATCTGGTAAGCTCGGTTAACTTATTACACAATTATTGAGGTGAGGCAAATGCAACCACTGTGGTACCAGTTAGATCAAGTACATAAGACAAAGTGCTGTGAAGAACTAGTAACACATGGCAATTCCTTGTAAGTTTAGATACAACCATGAAATAGAAGCTAATATATAGTAGATAGGAAGTATCTCTTACTAGAAGCAACTCAAGAAGGTAGCAATCATACTGAAACATCTTGGTATTACAGGAGTCAAGATTTATCGAGAAGCTTGTTGAGGACGAGAGTCAAATGGAAGGCCTTGGGGATAATTGCACTCGTGTTATGGTCTGGAATTTCGAACTGGAACCTCCTCAAGTCAACTACCCAATTGGCTGGCTGCTGCAGAGGAATCTGGATGCTGTTGTGCCAATAACATAACTGTCCTGCTGCTCCTCTTTTTGTTTGCCATCCTAGTGTGAATGATGCCTTCCTGAACTTGGTAGCGTCCAGGATCATGAGAAGCTGCTCTGCCAAGATCTGGTCCAAATAATGTCATACTAGTAACAGTTGAAAAGTGAGAAGCCTGACAAAAGAAAGTTTTTCTCTCTGTTGCATTCTTTTCTATATGTTCATTTTTTCCCCATATTCATCCAGCTAGATATAGCCATGTACATTTCATTTTTTTTCTCGTTTCTGTCCGTTATATACATACATATCACCTCACAGATGTGAATGTTCCCCTCCATTGGAACTGTTGAAGAGCAAAGCAGATACTCTCTTTGATATACATGAACAAAGGTTAAATCAAAACCATAGATTGTACACACAATGGTGTGCTTGGTCCTAACTCGCAAGTTCCTTTTCAATATTTCATTCTCCTCAGCTGCGTTGCACCTTGCTCTGTTCTGATCTCTGAATTCCTGTCAATGCAAATATCGTGTTGCGTGCTAATGTATCATGTATTCACTGAGAATGTTCGTGGCTTGGCTTCCTATACCAGCTGTAGTACCGAAATTTCCCTATGTAAAGCCTCCTTTGGAACGGAGAAATTCGTGGTAATTTTAAGGGATTTGAACTAAAATCCTACTAGTATAAAATTAATGCATTGCAAGGTATGGTCAGAGCTCAGCATTTTCGGAAAGCAAGCAAGCTCACCTGACGTGGAAAGGCTAACGGGCGATCGATTGCTGTCGGCGATCGTTTTTTTTTTCTTTTTCTCTTTTAGTAAGTTTATACACATAAAGTTTACACATCTAAAGTTTATCCATCTAAAATTTGTAAAGCGAATGTTTATAAGTTAAAAGTTTATATACCCGATTCAAATTCAAATTCGAATTCAAATATTTTATATTTTCCTCTTTTAGTAAGTTTATACACCTAAAATTTATACACCTAAAGTTTACACATCTAAAGTTTATCCATTTAAAGTTTTTACAACGAATGTTTATAAGTCAAAAGTTTATGTACCCGATTCAAATTCAAATTCGAATTCAAATATTTGATATTTTCCTATTTTAGTAAGTTTATACACCTAAAGTTTACACATATAAAGTTTATCCACCTAAAGTTTGTAAAGCGAATGTTTATAAGTCAAAAGTTTATATACCCGATTCAAATTCAAATTCGAATTCAAATATTTTATATTTTTCTATTTTAGTAAGTTTATACACCTAAAGTTTACCCATCTAAAGTTTATCCACCTAAAGTTTGTACACCGAATGTTTATAAGTTAAAAGTTTATGTATCCAATTCAAATTCAAATTCGGATTCAAATATTTTATATATAAAATATTTCTATACACAAAGTTTATGCATGCAAAGTTTACGGTATAAAGTCTATGCACATGAATGAGAGTATTAGATTTTTTTCCTAATTTTCTTTTACTATTTTTTTTAAATTTATGATGTAATAAAAAAGTAAAAAAGAGAGATGAAAGATAAGTATTAGGAGGGAGGGATGGGTGATCGCTAGGAGGAGAGGGAAGCGATCACCCGCCCACTAGCAACCTCCTTTAAAAACCATATAAATAGTTACCAATTTTTTTTAATAAATTGATAATATTCATATAATATACATATACCGCTCTACAAAATATTAAGTTCCAACTCAAACTTATACACCATATAAAATAGTTACCATTTTTTTTAAAAAAATGATAATATTCATATAATACATATACCACTCTACGAAATACTAGGTTCAAACTCAACTTATACATTGAGATATAAAAACACAAATTCAGATACAATATTTTTTTACGGGAATTCAGATACTATACAGAATGGCCATTTGTGCTTGGGCCCAGGAGTAATCTGAACCAAACGGGCCAACTCCAACGATACGAGTGGGCCCTTTCCTTCTTTCAACCCACGGAAACCGGAACCCCACCATCTGGCCATCTCCAACTCCAATCAGGCGTCCAAATGCAAAAATCCGTTACCAAAATTATGGAAAGCCTCCTTCCCCACGCCGGCTCATTCTAACAGGCTGCGTTACCCACTCACCAGTCGGTATGCCGTATGCCAATCGGGCTGCGCCCTGACTGCTTACGACGATACTATGACAAAATAAAAGCGAAAATGATTATCCAGTCGGTTGCGTTGCATTCCATTCCGTGTCGGACACGATGAGTTTGCCCTGCGTTCGCAGCGATCGCCCTGGACTCCGATCAGGTCTCGAGGCGCATACGCATTCGCGCCTATAAATCCAGGGCATATGCGCCATCCAAACCCCCTTCCATATTGAGTTCCCGAGGGAGAATTCGATCGAAGAATACGAGCAAATTAAAATCGATCGCGATACTTCGGTGTTGACGAAACAGCGTGATCTCTCTGCCCCGCAATATGCCGCCGGCTGCTGCGGGCTACTCCGCCGGCATGAAGCGGCCTCTCGCCGCGGTGGCGCCGTCGTGCGACGTCGACGGGCGCAATGCCGCTGCCGCTGCCGCTGCGAAACGGCGGGAACGACGACGGGAGGCCAAGCGGGCGCGCGCGGCGGCGGCTGCGGCGACGGGCGCTCTGGTCCCGTACGTGGCGCCCATCGACGCCCGGCCCATACGCGCCGTCCCGCTCGCCGCCGCCGCGGCCGCGCGGAGGAAGGAGGCCGACGACCAGGCGGCGGCGGCGCCGTCCGCGGAGCCGGCGTGGATCCGCAAGATACTGCTCGAGCGGCTGGGGATGACGTACGACCAGCCGGTGGTGTTCATCGCGAGGAAGACGGTGACCAGGACCGACCTCGACCCGCACCAGAACCGGTTCCGCCTCCCGATCTTCGGCGTGGAGCGCCGCCTCCTCCCGATGCTCACCGTCGACGAGGCCAAGGAGGCCAACCTGGTGGAGAACGACGAGGAGAAGGGGGTTCCTCGCCCGAGGCCGAGGCCCAAGAAGAAGCGACGCACGGAGAAAGGCAGCGTCGTCATCGCCGCCACCGCCGCCGCCGACGGGGAGCTGCAGAAGCCGCAGGGAACGACGCCGGAGACGAACGTGGAGGGAGAGGATCAGGCTCCTCCTCGCCCAAAGCCGGTGCCGAAGAAGAAGAAGCGACGAACGGAGAAAGGCAGCGTCGACGTCGCCGACGGTGAGCAGCAGCAGCAGCAGAAGGGGAGGGAGAAGGAGCCGAGGAAGAAGGCGCAGGGGAAGGACCACGGCGGGGTGCCGGTGACGGTGCTGCACCTGAGCGGCGCCATGAAGGAGCTGCGGCTGGTGCTCTGGGACAGCAGCCATGGCACCATCATCAAGGGGACCGGCTACATGGACTTCATCGCCGGAACCGGCCTGAGGGAGCACGACGCCGTGCAGATCTGGGCCTTCAAGCGCCGCGGGTTCCGCCTCTTCGGCGCCACCGTGCCGGAGAGCCGCTTCTACCTGGTGATCGTCGGCGGTTCGTGGCGCCCGCTGGAAGCTCCACCGCCGCAGTGCATGCTCCCGCCATCTCACGCGCCTGTGGAAGTATGTGCTTAGGCAGGATGGGTATAGACTGAATAGAGTAGTGAGATATTTTACAGTGCTGGCACCTCCCAATGTACTGTACATCCCATCTCTAACTCATCTCTCGAGACTACGAGTATGTAATTTTTTTTAAGGATAATAAATTGAGATTTACAAATAAACTTTAATAAATGTGTATTTCTTATCCTATATGGGTTATTTTTCTTCTTAGTTTGGTGTTCTTAATTTTATTTGAACTTCGCTCGTTTTAGAGTGCTACATCTATCTATCTATCTATCTATCTATCTATCTATCTATCTATCTATCTATCTATTATATAGTAAAAGTCCATTAAACTTCCTACAAACGCTCCTAAGCCGTCACGTAGCAATTCTATAAACACTCCTAAGTCGCCATGTGGCGTTTTAATATATTAGAAACATCTGGCCCTTAATTTTCATTTAAATTGGTGGGTCCATAATTTTACACCATTAGATTAGATTAAAAATAGACCCTCATACGTATGCCTCCCTCACCGCCTGCAAGTACGTACATATGAGTAAGAACGTAACATACCCCACTTTTTTCCTTTTTTATTCCCCTTCTTTTATTATTTTGCTTTACCTAATATACCTCCATAATATTATTGGCGTTTGAACATATGTTTATTTACTAAAGAAATATGTAATTATCATTTATTTTGTTATACTTTTCCATTAAATTTCCTACAAACGCTCTCACGTCACCATGTGTCACTCTACAAACGCTTCTACGTTGCTAAGTAGCGCTATAATAAATTAAATAAAATAATATAAATTCTTAGTTAAAATAAAACATTTAATTCTCGATTTTCACTTAAAGCTAAGAGACCATTATTTTAGACAATTAAATTATTATATCTATAAAAAATAATCTCTCCCTCCTAATATCCCGTTCAAATTATTAAATCTATAAAAAATAATCTCTCGCTCCCAATATCCTATTCACATAGCCTAGTGGTTACAAGAGCTTCAGTAGCACCTGAGGTCCTGGGTTCGACTCCCCGTGGGAGCGAATTTTCCAGGATTTAACGGCGTTGTGCTTTTAGTGGTAGGCGACGTACCCGTCGACAGCGAGACGCCTACGGTGACTTCATCAATCTCTCCAGGATTTGCCGGCCCAGTCTTCGAAGATGCTCATAGGAGTAGGGTTTGCGTGCGTGCGTTCATAGGGGTGAGTGCGCGTGCGTTGTGAGTGTCTGTGTTGTACTGTGTAATTCTCAAAAAAAAAAAATCCTATTCACATACAAGAGAAAATCGTTGCGTACAATTCATCTGGTTAAAAAAAAATCCTATTCACATACAAGAGAAAATCGTTGCGTACAATTCATCCGGGAAAAAAAAAATCCTATTCACATACAAGAGAAAATCGTTGCGTACAATTCATCCGGGAAAAAAAGGCAAAAGCTATACGTATGTACGAACGAAATAAAAACCAAAGATATTGATAACTATGATTGAAAAAAAATCACTGCCAAGATTAATTATAAAAGCACCAGCCCAAACGATCAGCCAAGATAATCACCATCAGCTCACGGCACAAGCACGTATATGCATTATCTGCTCTTCTTATTTTTAGGTTGTTGAGATATCTACAGCATAATAAAATCTAAACAACATTTGATTTATATCTTCGATTGAATGTAGACTTTCATGGTTATCACGGTCAGTGTCATCTTCGTGGAGGGCTCCATGCATGTATTAACTTTTGGTCAGTTTAGTTCTTTATATTCTTGACAATTAAATCAATAATTTAAATCTATATATTGATGTTTTATTATCAAATTATAAAATAGTGTGAGCCATATATATATGCCTTCACCCTTTGCATTTTCTATGATATAGAGATAAAATATATTACTCTACGAACTTTAAATTAGGTCAGTGTCATCTTCGTGGAGGGCTCCATGCATGTTTTAACTTTTGAAAACTATAAGTTGGTTTTATGATCAATTTAGTTCTTTATATTCTTGACAATTAAATCAATAATTTAAATCTATATATTGATGTTTTATTATAAATTAAAAAATAGTGTGAGCCATACCATCACCCTTTGCATTTTCTATGATATAGAGCTAAAATATATTACTCTACAAACTTTAAATTAGTAAACCCGTTATTTTATACCATTAAATTAGGTCTACTGAAAAAACAATCCACCCCCCCCCCAAAAAAAAACCAAAATCTCCCATGTAAGAAAAAGCAAAGTAACACATATACACATGTAAAAATATAAATATATAGCTAAAAATATACATACACACTATGATCAGAGAAAATCAATGGTCTCTAAACTATGATTTTCCATGATATAAAAAATATTACCCAACCAACATACGCAGTTAAACTAGATCAAAGATGTAATATGAATTCAATGGTCTGTAAGTGTTCATCTATTAAATATATATATCAATTTTAATAATTCTGATGTATTCCTTTAATTAAATGAACTATTATTGACCTATAGTAGTTAGTGCTAACTGATAAATACATAATGGCACATAATAATTAATATCATAATAATTTTTCAAATAATTATGGTGTACAATATCACCTGACAAATAATTTGAATCTACATATGTAAAAATGAAAAATGAAAACAACAGAATTTAGTTATATTTTTTTCAAGTAGATCTTATCTAATTTTAATATGTGAGATATTACGATTCTCAAATATTTTTTTTGAATTTTTCAGAACTATTTGATTGGTATTTGAAAAGTGAGAAGCACACATGATACATAGACATGATAAACTTTATTAAAAATACTTCTAGCGAGTGATATGGCTATACTACAACCCCTTAATCCATCATGAGAACTATGGTCATATATGTAGGTTTTTTGTTTGTCATATAGTTTTGGCAACAAATAAACAATCAAGTAACACCCATAATATATATTTTTTATACTTGAGGAATTCCGATGTGTCGGGCATAGTTGATGGATGTATGTCATATACTCTACTAACATGATAACCTCACTCACTTTCAAATAAGAATATTGTATATGTATTATTGAAATTTGAGTAATATTGATTTACACTATAAACAAATTGTGTCTACTATATACCACAAAACAACTCAATCTTTAAAAAGGATTATTGTAATCACCTCCGTCTTCTCTTTTTCCATTCTCAAAAGGGTGCCAAGCATAGATAATAAAGCTTGCTATACTACCATGATATAGCAAAGGCATACATTTGGATGAGTTAAGCCACCATGGGTACTTAATTAACGATGCAATCCTTTATGAGGGTACTAATAGTGAATTAGCCGTTAAAACTGTTATCCACGATGGTCTTGATGGGCACGATTATGTCGATATGTGACCCATGTTTCAAGGTATCGAGAAAGAAAGCCTTGGTAGTTATGTTCGGCTTCATCCGTTAGATGGGCATTCATATCAAATTTTAACATTATTATCCTATTAACTCATAGAAGCGATATTGTTATAATATATTTTTTTGATAAAATATTATTGGAATATTTATACATAGATTTAGAAATAAGTCAGATCGACATGAACAGTTAGGTTAGTAGTGGAGATAATTTTTTTAGTCGATTAACGATGTATTGTTCTTATTTTGATGTTACAAATACAGTTTCATCTATTAAATAGGTGGTGTTTGGATCCAGGGACTTAACTTTAGTCTCTGTATTTAGACACTAATTTAGAGTATTAAATATAGACTAATTACAAAACTAATTACATAAATGAAAGTTAATTTACGAGACAATTTTTTTAAGCCTAATTTAATCCATAATTAAAAAATGTTTACTGTAGCATCACATAGGCTAATCATGGATTAATTAGGCTCAATAGATTCGTCTCGCAAATTAGTCCAAGATTATGGATGAGTTTTATTAATAGTCTAAGTTTAATATTTATAATTAGTGTTCAAACATCCGATGTGATAGGGACTTAAAAGTTTTAGTTCCATCTAAACAGGGTCATAATCACTTTGGTTTCAAAAGAACGATAATAAGTCTCCATAATAAAATAAAATAATAATAATAAGTAGTGGCGATATTAGGCAAATTTATATATAACTGGGACACAGTGATTTTTGTTTGAATCTAGGAAACGCTTTTGACATAAACAATAAACAAAATGATCTGCGCGGGCTTCTTTCCTAGTTGTAATAATTGAAGCTCTTTTAAGCAAAGGTCGGAATGTTCTATTCCATTATCTAGAAAATATACTCTCTCTTTTTTTTTGACAATTACCCTGCGCATTTTATTTGTTGTGCTTTTCTAGACATATATAGATCCATAGATGCGCGGGCTTCTTTCCTAGTTGTAATAATTGAAGCTCTTTTAAGCAAAGGTCGGAATGTTCTATTCCATTATCTAGAAAATATACTCTCTTTTTTTTTTTGATAATTACCCTGCGCATTTTATTTGTTGTGCTTTTCTAGACATATATATAGATCCATATCGTTGGATTGCATCCGATCAACGGATGTCATCATTCCCAAGCACCTTAGCATGTCTCGTAGAATAGTATAGTACTTCTTCAGCCGTTTGTAGATTTACTACAGAGCAAGGATTGTTTAATATTACCACATTTATTAATTGAATTGTTGCTAGCAGCAAGTGATCTCTTTCTTTTGGTTTTGTCCAAGATTACATGTATTTTTTAGTCTTTTTGCAACATAATCGGGTTTTTCTCAATTACATAGAAGATGTGCAACTTCTATAAGCTCAACTAATATTCACACATTCGGAAAAACTTCACCGTTTTTTAATAACCATACAAAATTACCATTGTCTTCCGTTACGTACACACGTGACGTTTTACGTACTACGCGTTCTCTAAACAATACATTTTTTACTAATAATTTATAATGCTACTACGATCTGTTCTTCCTCCCATGCATGACTCTAATTCTTTTTTGTGTTTCTCATATGTGTATACCAACTACAATTTTTTTAAAAAAAATTCTTATATTTTTAATTCGTGTAGAAACTCGATGGACATGACATTATATACCTACCTTCCCATTCCTGGGTTTTCTTATTAATCTTTTTTTCAAAGGGGTCTTTTTTTTTCCTTTTGAAAATTGGGCTTGAAACTGATTAAAACGACATTTTCCATGAATAGAGGGTTAGATTTTGAATGTCACGCACCGTCCCCGAAAAGCTAGGGTTATATGCTTCACAAAATACAGCCGTATTGCATTCTCATTTGTACTTCATATTTTTACGGCCAATAGAAGCATACAAACAGGACAGCAACGCAGATGATGTGGCCAAGGCACGTAATGTTAGCTAGTAGGCGTTGGAAAATTGTTTGATACTAAGTAGTAGAGTATAAATAAATTGTCACCTCCATCCACTATCAAGTAGTCGATATGTCCGAGTGGTTAAGGAGACAGACTCGAAATCTGTTGGGCTTTGCCTGCGCAGGTTCGAATCCTGCTGTCGACGTACTTTTTTCTTTCAAGTAAAACAGCACCAGACGGCTTATTAGAAATAAAAATAAATTTGTATATAAAACTTTTTATATTTATATATGTGTTCTTTGTGACTTAAAAGCCAATGCTGAAAAAAAAAGTAGGTTAAAAAATTAAATTTAAAAATTTAAAATTTGGTTTTTTCTTTGGCTTATTAGGCCATCCGATGGGAGCCTAATTTCCTCTAGCCCCACTGCGGTGTTTTCATTTCTTGTCAGGTAAAACAGCACCAGTACAAAGTTTAATTTCCTCTAGCCCCACTGCGGTGTTTTCATTTTCTTGTCAGGTAAAACAGCATCAGTACAAGTTTAATTTCCTCGAGCCCCACTGCGGCACGATCATTCCTTGCACGAACACGTATGATCCACCAAGTCCGCGATCCGTTGAAAACTTGAAACGGCCTCACGGGCAGTGTCAACAAGAGCGAACGTACCAGGTTTTGGTAAATGATTCTTCTTCTTCTCATATTCAGTTCTGGTGCGCATATCCTGTACAAATCCGGGAATCGCGTACTCTCACAATTTATTTTCTACTAATAATAAGAAACTCCAGTATACCCGCTGAACTTCACGATCCGTTCAATCTACCGAGATCAGTGTAAGGTGGTGTTTGGATCAAGTGACTCTTATATCGGATGAATTTGAAGTATTAAACATAGACTACTTAGGCTGCGTTCGCCACCGTGAGATTGGGAGATAGTTTGTTCCGTTTTCCGCGCGCACGCTTCCCAAACTATTAAATGGTGCGTTTTTTAAAAAAATTCTATAGGAAAGTTGCTTTAAAAAAATCATATTAGTCCATTTTTAAAATTTAAAATAGTTAATACTCAATTAATCATGCGCTAATGGCTCACCTCGTTTTGCGTATCTTCCCAGTCTTCTCTATCTCCCCTTTCTCAAACTCAGCCTTATAAAACTAATTACATAAATAAAAGCTAATTCACGTAACAAATTTTTTAAGCCCACTTAATCTATAATTAGCGTATGTTTACTGTAGCATCATATAGGCTAATCATCGATTAATTAGGTTTTATAGATTCGTCTAGCGAATTAGTTTAGGATTATAGAATGAGCTTTATTAATAATCTATATTTAATATTTATAATTAGTGTCCAAACCTTGATAGGGACTTGAAAGTCTACACAGTAGTACAGTACCACTCGTATATCCGCCCAAATTTTTGGGTTCACACTCGGCGGCACACTCGAAGCTCCCAACAACCAACCAAACCCCAAAGCATATCACAATCAGTGGGGAGGGAAGGGCCCCTTATTTATTCGCATTCCTCTCCTCATCATCACTCATCTCCCTTCCCTGTCGATTACCTTCTCTCCTTCCTCTGTTCCTCCTCTCCTCCACACATCCAGGCAGGCAACACAAGAATCATCCGGGAGAGCGACATGGCCCCGGTTGCCGTGGGCGACACCCTCCCCGACGGCCAGCTGGGGTGGTTCGACGGGGAGGACAAGCTGCAGCAGGTCTCCGTCCACGGCCTCGCCGCCGGCAAGAAGGTCGTCCTCTTCGGCGTCCCCGGTGCCTTCACCCCGACCTGCAGGTCTCTTCCTCCTTTTTTCGATTTCCTCTCCCCCCTCTTTCTTGGAGACGTTATATTTCCCTGAAAAAAAAATTCCTTAAAAAATGGGACTTCTTTTTATCAGATCGAGAAATTTTACTGCAAAACTGAAATGTGTACTAGCTGATGTCCGGACCAAATCCAAGATTACTGCTTTATTATACAGATACTCACAATTTATGGGATTGATTTGACGAGCTCTGAAGTCACTCCCACTTCCTTGGGTGTCAGAGTTAGGGTTAAAAATCTTGATGTGGGTTTATATATTGCTAGTTGCATGACTAAAAAGTAGACTTCGATCCACTGTTCTGGTTTACTCCATGTGTTGTTCCCCAGCTTCTGAGCACGCGAGAGAAAATGTTATAATTTTTGGGCATCTATGCTAGAAGCAGTTAAGCCAAGATGGGTGGCAGGATATAAAAGGGAGATTTTGGCTATAGTTACTCCGTGGAGATTCGCTCAGAATTTCGTAAGCTGATAGCCTTTTCTTGTTGATTAATCTCCCACAGAAAATCTGTAAACCTGGATGCAGCTAACTGAACTAAAACAAACATTTCGAATAGAAAAAATGGAGACACGAGTCACATGACTGACAAATACAGAGTACACATTTTATCGAGAGCAAAGTGCTCATATCCAAGTGCTCCTAACTGGCTAACTTTTGTCTTCATTCTTTAGATTAGACTGATGCTGTTGGTTTTTACTTGTACTATTTGGTTTCGATAAATTTGTGAGCTTGAAATGTTTTATCCTTCCCTTTGCCATCATCCTCTGTTGGCACTTGGCACCGCAGTTTTAATATATCTAGCTGCCAATTATCTCATTTTGCTGTCCCTTTTATAAGAACCCGCTGTTCTATTTTGCCATCACAGAGGTTTAAGTTGTCATATTACTTTGTTACTCGCCCTGTTATTGTCTTCTTTTCACTTCTGAAAACCTGATGAACTGACATAATGTCTTTTATTATTATTTTTCGATGGCTATAGCAATCAGCATGTGCCAGGATTCATAAATCAGGCTGAGCAGCTCAAAGCCAAGGGTGTAGACGACATCTTGCTTGTCAGTGGTATGTTTCTGTCATTTGTTTCTCCATGTTCATATTCCCAAATTTAGCTTTTGTCAGAAATCTTCAGTCAATTATTTGAACTAAACATGGAAGGACAAAGGAAAATTTTATTCTATTTCAGATATTGTGATTTTCCCGTGTTCTCGGTAAAGTTGTGTAGGGTAGATATACTGACTGGTGTACAAAGTAGAAACACTATCCACTTTCTGACTGTATATAGTACCGAATCAAGGCAGCTGTGGCAGAATATGACTTATCTGTGGATCTATGATATAATTTTGCAGTTAACGACCCCTTTGTCATGAAGGCGTGGGCAAAGTCATACCCTGAGAATAAGCATGTGAAATTCCTTGCCGATGGTTTGGGAACATACACCAAGGCACTTGGTCTTGAGCTTGACCTTTCGGAGAAAGGGCTTGGTATTCGTTCGAGACGGTTTGCTCTCCTTGCTGACAACCTCAAGGTTACTGTTGCAAACATTGAGGAAGGTGGCCAATTCACAATCTCTGGTGCTGAGGAGATCCTCAAGGCACTGTAAGAGCTTCAGCTCTTAGGAACGGCAGCGATCACTTGGACCTATCGTGTCAATCTTGTTTAAATTTGTCTGCAAAATACTTGTGCGAATAAAATTGTCGATGAGCTGCCTAGTTGTGAGGACTTTATGATAATGTTTGAATCTGTATCCACTGTTGAATCAAGTAGTAATGTTCAGTGCTCATGTTAAGTTATAATCTTCAGTTTATATCTCCAGAAAAAGGTTTGATCTTTCCGTTGACACTTAGACAGTGACTTCTAGAGTAAACTGGATTATTGGTCAAGAAGAGAGAATTTTATGGTAGAAACTGATCGGATCGCAACAGCAATGCCCGTTCTCTGAACAGGCATATACTGCCTCTGCACAGCTTAATACTCTTTTAATAGATGACGCTGTTGACTTTTTCTCACACATTTGACCATTCGTCTTATTCAAAAATTTTATGCAAATATATAAGATATAAATCACACTTAAAGTACTATGAGTGATAAAACAACTCATAACAAAATAAAGTATAATTACGTAAATTTTTTGAATAAGATGAATGGTTAAACATGTGAGAAAAAGTCAACGGCGTCATCTATTAAAAAAGAAGGTAGTATCAGCGTGCGAAGATGGCAATAAGGAGGCTGTGCGGTTATTTCATTTACAAGGTAAATATGGTGATAAATCTAGGCTTAATGCCTGGGCCATCTTGCCAATTACTTATACTCCGCATAGTTTACAGCAACTGTAGCTTGCATATCTTTGTGTTACTGTTGGTGCGCGCACGTCTGCTTTTGTATTCCGAAGGAAAATATGCTAGTGTGCATTCTGTTATTCAGATACTAGCGGTTTCACATTTTGAATTTCTGATCTATTCATGCAAAAATTTTCCAACCAAAATGAGGCCGTGAAATATGCATACTGATTTCATCTCAACTGAGATGAGCAGATTACACCGCCAAATCGCCAATACAACCCATCCAGCCTCTCTGAAGTTTGAGCTATTTACAGGTGCTCCCCCCGGTAGCACAACCAAGCATGCAGCTGTCTGACCATTTTTTCAGGCTACAGCTACCTATGAGAAAAGCTTTTCAACCCACCCCCCAAATTATCAACTTTCTCAATGTGCAAAAGTTTCTTTGTGACCATGCGGTGGACTTTCCTCAGCCTCGCGCCTTTGTCCTCGTGTTCTTGCTCTTGCCAGTGAATAGAGTTGTTGGTCACTTGTGAATTGGCATCTATGCTGTTCACAGTCTCCTCTTCCTCCAGTGCATTGTCAATGATCTCGGGGATGTCAACTAGACTGGGCCTTCTCCTTGATTTCGTGCGCTTTGGGTCTCTAGCAATGGCATCAGCGTGAAGAACATCCTCGATCCGAGATAAAACTGCAAAGGCTAAGCTCTCAAGAGTCCTGGAGTAGCTCTCCAAGATGGCATACCCAACATCCTGAAGAAAAGAAGTAGCAAATGCAGGTGGCATGAGTATAAGTACTGTAGCAAATCCGAAAAAAGTAACTAAACATGCAGCTATGGTTTTTTTTTTTTGACCTTGTTGTATTGTATCTTGCTGATGTCAAGTGATGACTGAGGAACCCCAGGGAACTGGTGCTTGAGGATGAGTAGGACAGTTTGCGCCCGCTCTTCAAACTGCTCTCGCTTCTCCAAGCTAACACCGGGGCCCCAGGAAAGCTTATTGGAAATTTTCCTCTGCCAAATTACAACGGAGGCCTCAATTCGGTCTTTGAGATCGACGATCTTGTGCTCTGTCGACAAGTCTACAGAACTTAAGAGCTCATTGGGATCGAAATGATCATCAGTTATAATTTTGTATATCGAGTCTCCAAGACTAGACCTTCCATTCTGCAAGAGAAGTAGTCTCGGTTAGATTAGCCTCATAATGTTTTTCAGGAAAACACCGTACTACATTCCAAAATCCAGGAAAAGTTTGTTCAACTCAGCATCAAGCAGAAAATGAACTCACTTCGAGAAAAGATATGCGTAAAGTATGGAAAGGAGTTTTTACAAATATTAATGGTATTATAAGTCACCTTAGGCAGAGTTTCAATGTACTCTCCCGGGATCTCCATCTCTGTAAGAACATCAGCATTGATAGCCATGGCTGCCTTCAGCACCTGCCCTACAAGGTCTTTCTGGTGCAGAATCCATTTTTTCGACGCATCTGGCAGACCCTCGGGAGGGACTCGAACTGTAGGGATCCACCACTTGTCGCCCTGTCTTGGCGCATCGCCCTTTTCACCCTCATCTGCGTCTTTTTTTACGTACCAGAATTCTTGTTCATCTTTGAAATTGTCAAGATACTCCTGCTCCACCGGCAAAAGGACCACCGCAAAGTAATGCTGGTTCAGAAAACTAATGGGGAAAAGATCAATTTGGACATTTGTATATGCTATTATGCTTACAAGGAGCATGGCGTCGAGTTTTCGCAATGCCGGGATATTGATGAGAAGATCTCTGCGCTGCTGGGTACCCATCACCTGGTTGACAACAAGGACGAAAATGAAGCGAATTGCACGATGAAATAGTAATGAGGTTGCAACGATCTTGTGGATGGCCTACCTCCATGCTGGTTCCATCCGTGGACGCCTGTTGCGAAGGGACGAACTCGACGATGTGGTCGGTGACCGACAGCAGCCAGTCGATCTCCTTGTTCCATCGAGCTCTCCGGTCGGCAGACATGGGCTCGAGCCGGCGCTGCTCCCCGAATACCGAAGCTGCAGATTTTGCCACGGTGAAGAACGGGAAAAAAAAACATCATGACAGGCAAGAACACAAGAGATTTGTAGTAGATAGCATGTGATGAGTGGTGTGATACTGACCTGCGAGATTTGTGATGGCGTTGGAGAGAGCAAGAGCGGAGGAGACACCTTTGCCGGTGCCGGACATGTCCTCGCCGAGCAGCAGCTTGGCGAACTTCTCCTTCACCAGATCAATCTCTGCAACAGAGATCGAACGATCGATCAAATCAATGGCGAAACTAAGCGGTTGATCCAAGAAGATTTGAGCAATTGTGATTTTGCATATGGTTGATCACCTGAAGGCGGTCCACTGTCACGGACGTTCTTCGACGATGGCGGCACCACCGGCGGCAGGTGGTCGACGGAGCCGCCCAGCGGCTTGGCCTTGGACCCGTGGCTCCTCGACAGCACCCGCTTCTGCAGCGGCGGCAGTGGCGGGGTCGTCGTCGCGGAGACGGCGGCATCGTCCTCGTCCTCCTCGGCCACGCTGACGCCGCACCACCTGCCGCTGCTGCTTCCCCGTGACGACGACGACGACGGCGGCGGCGGCGACGGAGACGACGACGAGAAGGAAGAGCTGGACGACATGATGAGGCTCCTGATCGGCAGGAACCTGTCCAGGCTGTGTCCGCGCAGCAGGTGCCGCCGCACCATTCGACAGCAGGTCACACGCTCATGAGGAGGCGGGCGATCAGCAGAGGAGGTTGCCTAGCACGGCGCCGCGCGTGGAGGACGTACGATGCGACGCGCTGGCGGTGGTGGTGGCGCTCGACGTGCGACTACGACGGGGGGGTTGAGCTCAATGTCGCGCGCCGGCGAGGCCCGCCGGCGCGCTTGAGGAAGGGAGAGGGGCCTTGGGTTTCCCGGGCCGGCTTAGCTCGTCGACGCGCGCGCGATCGAGGACGGACGCGCGCGCCGAAGGAGTGTGGGGGCTGGGTGGATGGATGGATGGCTGCGTCCTCGCATGGGCGCGAGGTGTTGTGGTGTTTGCGCCCGGAGGGGCGAGCCAAAGTTGGAAACCACACGCACGCAAAAAACGGGGCATGCGCGCGATGGCGCGCCATTGCTGCGGCCAAATATAAGCAACATGCTAATTTTCCTTCCCTCAGATTTAGCTTGGGCATGCGATGCTCGCGCGCGCCTGCCGCCGTGAATTCCACTGGTTCGACATGGAAATGGCTTTGCCGGTCTCGCAAGGCATGCGTTGAGCGTTGTTGGCTTGTTGCGTCGCCGTTGAGTTTGGCTGCGTTGCGGGGGGTAAACGCGTGCATGATCCTGGATGACCGCTGGTGGCCAGGGATGAAAACGGAGCCTATCGAGAAAATTGAATACATTAGGATGGTACAGATACGGATACAATCATACAAATACAAATGTTTTTCCCACATGAATAGTTGAATACAAATATGGTATTAGACTTTCCGACGGATACACATTTTAGAAGTTTAGGTGGATTTCGTGTTCCGAGACATATTTGTTTATGTATTGTGTCTGGTCTTATTCAATCCTTATTTGTATTCGAGATCATTCATATTTATGTCTATATCCCAGCTATTCGTATTTGTTTTCATATCCGGCTAAAAGTACGAAAACCGATGTGATATGAATGCTATCCGCATGTATCCGCTCTATTTTCATCTCTATTGGTGACATGCAGCAGCGGGGGAAGAGGGCAAGAGGAAGTATGGCGAAAGTTCATAAGATGGTGCAATGCAAACTTTGCAATCCCGGCGGACAGTGACAGCATGCTTGCTGACTGGTGGCTTGCAACGCGGCGCCGTTTTAGGACGAGCTACAGGGTGGACTTCGACAACGCCTTTATGTTAATTTGCTAGCTTATTTGGAAGGAACAAAATGCTAGAATTTTTCAGCATGTGTCAAAGATTCCGAAGCAACTAGCCGAGGATATAAAAGAAGAAATTGCGGTGTGGAGGGTAGCTGGGATCTTCTCCCATTTTGGAGAGTAATCGTGTTGTGTATTGTCAGGGTTCTGCCCTACCTTCCCTCTTTCCCCTTTGCTTGTTCACGCTGGGTCTGGGATCTCTCCCGGACTAGCGCGACATTGTAATGTCGTTGTAACATTCTCCTTGTTTTTCTTTCCAATCTTAATGAAATTGGTCGTTGGCCGACCCGGCAAAAAAAAAAAGGGCAAGAGGCAAATCTTCCGAGTGTGGTTTCGTAGCATTACAAATTTATTAGCATATTTGAGTAAAAATAAGAACAAGTGGGATTGATTTGCATCTTGGAGGATCATGAAAAAGAAAAATGCATTAGGTGAGGCTTGCGATTTGTCAGTTAGCTGAAAATGCGAAAAAATATCACTCGAGTTTTAAAATACTAGGATGGCTTTAAGAATCTTGCAACACCCTCTAAGCCCTACATGTCACTTCTCTTATTCCTCACCCCACTGCCCTTGTCACCGCCATCAATGTACCTCTCTGCCTCACCAGCGTGGAAGGCACCAACAATGCCAACAAGGGCCACCATACCGACCTCCTTCCCCCTATCCCTTCTTTCGCCCGAAGCTGAGGCGTGGCAACCTTTCCCGTCTCTAGCGGCTTGCATCGTCGAGATACCAATGTGTCTCCAACTCTCCATCTCCTAACCACTACCCCAACGCTGCATTCCTGCCTCGCCAGTGTGGAAGTTGCCAACAGTGCTAGCAAGGCTCACCGTATCAGCCTACTACCCCTATCATTTCTCCTCTCGAAGCTGAGTGGTGGCAAGGTGCCCCCTCCCGTTATTCTTCCCCATCTCCAGCCACTTGCACCATTATCATGCGCCCGTTGTCCCCACCTTCTAACTAATGACCCGACGTCAGGTGGTCCCTCCTCCATCCTAGTAGCTCTAGTGCGTCGCTAGCGTCTTGTTGTCCGCTCGTCTCCACTACATCCAGTCTTTTACCACTTTGGGCACCCTCTCAAGCTATCCTCGTCACCCCCTATCCACCGCCTCCAACCCCGAAACCTTATTCGAAGGTTCTCTATTATTGTTTGGGGATTGCCATCGCTTAGGCTTGCAGTCGCTAGGTCAATCTGCCATCTCTCCCTCCCTATTCTCTCTTCCTGCCTCCCCCGGTTTAGAGGTGGAAGACAATGGCATTGCCACATTCGTATATATATCAAAGGTGGTGTAGTTAGGTTGTGTATGACACTGATCAGCACATCATATGTTACTGTACTAGTTACTGACGAGCAACTTTTGTTTTTTTATGTATTATTAGTTAACTGTAATGTTGCACAAAAATCATTTGGTGATATATAGTTTCATAATAACTTAGTGGCTTTGTACCTTTTTTAAGTAAGCAATGTTGGTGAAGCTCACCAAATTCACTTTGTAATTATAGGCAATTTTATCGGAACGACAACGAAGCACAACGCATAGTTACAACTTACAAGTGTTTTGCAGAAGCCAGGACACATGGCGAGGAAGTGCCACTCAGAGTCGATAGTGATTGTTCTTTCTTTCTTCAAAAAAATTAAAGAATATTTCCTTAAACCCCATGGTACATTACACAATCACACACATTTCCTGCTTACATAGTTACATTCACCTCTAGGATAACCTGAATCATTCTATTTTCACACCATGTATGTTTAGTATACAGAGAAAAAAAAAAGAAAACAACAAACTCACCAGAAATTTACTGGAGGGGGAGAAAGTACCGCAATGCGGACAGCGAACTCACCAGAAATGCAGAAACGCACAAACGGGGATGTACAAGTTTGCGCACAGAAACTCAGAGTTGCTGTAAGAACCACATCATATTGACACTTTCTTTCTCCTAGGTTGCTTCAACCGAAAGGATCTCAAGCTCTGCCCACCAAAGTGGAGACAGTCTCGGCGTTGCTGCCTCCGGTGAGATTGCTAGAACTTCTCTCAGTCTAGTGGTGACCTCTCGCATGCCTGGTCTCTTCTTCGGGTCGCTTTGGATGCACTCCTGGATTAACTCACAGATGATTTCTAGCTCGTTTTCTTTGTGAGTCTTCAAGGTAGGATCAAGCAAACATGATATATTCCGGTCATCTTTAATGCACTCCATAGCCTGTCACCAGACGGAAAAAAAGAAGAAGCAACATTTGCTTCAAGATCCCATTTTGTGGAAGTTGCAACGACTTTAGTAACTACACTCGATTTATTAATTGTCATCCTTACCAAGTTCGCAAGGGAGCCCTTGTGTTCAGAATATGGAGGCCTTCCTGAGATGATTTCCAGCATGAGTAGACCAAAACTGCACACGTTCCCAGCTGGATCGGCAGACACAGGCTCATGGTGATCAACAATGTCATCGTTCTTGGGCATTTTTCCTTTAGAAATCACTTCTTGCCAAACACTCATGTCTGCTACCTGCGAAAAGGACTCGGTTTAGAGGAAAGCATAAACATGTAGTCTGATATTACAACTAAAGTGTTTGTGCAAACGAACTAGGGAGTACTTCATATTGCTCAATTGTGATGTAGACAAACATTTTATCCAGTTTGCTTTTCCAAACAATGTGACTCTAAATTGAAGGTATAATGTCCAGAAAAATGGTTTAGAAGCTGAAATTCTGATCTTACACTATTTCCTTTTTGTTTTCATATTACTGAAATTTTGGACAATCCTGTGAAGATCTCCACAAACTAGAACAAATACAATTTGAAATTTCCATAAGCATATTTGTACCTTTGCAGCTCCATCCTCAGACAACAATATGGCACTTGAATGTAAGTCAGGATGTGTGATAGAAGGGTTCAGCTCATGCATGTGTTGGATGCAGTATGCTACCCCCATAATTACTCTCATCCTACCATTCCAATCAATATGATCGAATCCCTCAACTGCAAAAAGGAAATAAAACCAATTTAATTTGGCATAAAGAACAAACATTTTAGCAGTGGAATCAGCATTTAACAGGCTTTTACCATGGAGATGCTCATAGAGTGTTCCATTGGGTGCATATTCTAACACCATCATCCTCATAAAAGGATTCTCCTCCTCACAGTACCCAAGCAGGTTGATGAAGTTCTTGTGATTAATTCGTGAGAGCAAATCTATCTATGTGTTCAGAAAAATAAGTTAGAAGAAACAACCTTTTTCCAAACTACCTTTTATTCGTAAACTAGACCAACATTACAAACTTTAGTAGCAGGGTGCTTTTATCCTTACAATAAATAACACTATATTACCTTTTTTCTGAATCTCCCTTCGGAATGCTTCGACCAATCTTTGTTAGTCGCAATAACAGTTGATACAACAGCTATCTCAACGCCACTTGATAAGGTTCCCTTATATACAGTGTAGTGTGGATAGCTTGCGACAATGTTACTGAAGTCCTCACAAGCACCTTCCAGCTCTGAGCGCTGCAACTTTGGTACTCCTGAAGTACAGTAAGGCACCACAATTTGCAACAAATGATAAGAGGCAATTCAACTGGATATTTGACGATCTTTGAAAAGGGAGAGCTCAATGAAGCTAAATATCTGTCCCTCTAAAGTCTAAACTTTGCAGAAATATTAATGATCAAATAATCTCATCTTGAACCATTTTTATATATCTTATATCTCCTATTAACAATTGCTTGATATTATTTCTGCCTTGCACATACTTTTATTTGTAAAGGAGATAAATATCTATGGCCCACAAAAACAGGTGTTGCATTTGTTCAAATATAAACTGACGTTGAAAATTTTACAAAATTAATGAGTTCTGCATCCCAATTATTTAATTTAGCTAATCCATGTTATCCTTTAGAAATAAATGATTAAAAATTAGGTATATCTGAAGAAAAGTAAAACAACAGTAGAAAGCATATGATAGAAAATGCTCTGAAGTTCATATTTGACCATAATAAACAAAATAACAGGATGATTATGCACATTTTTATCCAGACAGATCAGAGAAGAAATAAAATATTTACCTGTCACAAATGCCTTCTGCAGCTGTCCACTGAGCCCAGTCTTCCATGGACCTATTGTCGCCACTGATTTGTTGCGGCATAGCAAAAACATGCATGCTATGCCGATAAACAGCAGAGCGATTGATGAAATCACAATGGCATACAACCATC